GGAGATCAAAAATAGTGCTTTTTTATTTCTTTGTACCTTCCACTGAACTCTTTTTTATGTGATGTAATATGAGAATGTCATGTTGTTAATGTAGTTCTAGGAATGAACATGAACATTTTTGGCCTCATGTGTAGATATTTTTCAGTGCTAGAGATTCACAGGAGGTTTATACAAACAAAAATCTCACAGCAACAGCGCTCTTTGGCTCATACCGTTATCCCTATTTAACTGATGTGATAACTGAGGTAGAAACATATTGAACTTTTTGTCCAAGGTCACACAGTGAGGTCAGCAATGGAGCTAAAGCAGACCCCAGCTCTTTCAGTTCACTGCTTTGTTTTAAACCATCTAATCTCCCTTTTAGCTCTTTGGTGTTGAAGCAAAAGTACAAAAGACTATTAATACACTGTTACCCTTAAAATTGCAAATCCTCAATGTAAAAAGAATAATGCAGGTTAGGATCTAAAGCAAGTATATGAAAATCCCTTTTCAGCCCACTGGATGCTGAAATATTGCAGCATGTCCCTTCACTTTAATAATATCTCACAGCAGAAGGTACTTGAGTCACTTTTAGCATACTGTCAATCCTAACTAAAAGCTCTTAAGTTATGCAATCAGCCACGAACATGTAGCTGATGTAGACTCCTGGAATTACATGTTATAACCAACCTTTTAATTTGTGTATGAAGAAAGTTTAAAAGAAAGGTAAAAATAAAAAAAATAAAAGCACTATATCTAATTTCTACAGCATTTTAGAAGTGTCTTATGGCTACTATCTAATCACCTTAACAATTTCATGACAAAATGCTACCAGCAACTATTTCAACATAGAAGCTGCACGAATAAGATGTGAAAACTGTAGCTGTAGCTTCAGACCTAAATAATAACAAAAGGCCTCTAAGTGCTCCAGAGGCCAAAAATACACAGACACCAATCAAATGAAACATCGACGCCAGGAAGCTCAAGCAATTACAGGATTCCCTGGCCACTATCCCCTTGTTCCGAGGTTTGCCATTATAGCCTTTGCTTCCTGATTCACGTGAGACAATGTCAAATCAATGCAGAATGATTTTCTTTTTTTTTTTTCTTATTGCAATTAAACAAAGCAGCTTTCTTGACAGTTCACACTGTGCTTCATTTACCCCTATCCCTCCCAAGCACTTTAATTTCTTTACAGCGAAGAAGAAACATAGCTTCTTTTCTGTTGAACTCTGGTTGCGTTTAGGAACTCCTATTTCTAAGTGATATCATGTATCGAAAGTTCAACATGTTTGTCTTCTGTATTAATCTAATTTAACTTTTTGACTCCTCTTCCTAGTTTCTAGAGTAGTTATCTATTTGTCACTGGAATAATTCTTTTTCTCTCTATGTCAGAACTGCACCAGTGGAGACAGAGTGAAATAGCACCCATCATGAAAAACATAATTTAACAACCTGCATAACAAGATTTTATAGTATGTTTTGAAAAATGGCTTAAATGATTCAGATACACCATGGAAAATCAGTGGAATTCAAAATAATTTCAGAAATCCCATTCCTATTTGAAATTTAAATATCCAAATAGAAGTGCTCAGCTGCTCATAGGATCTCAATATCTCAAACCTCCTAGCTTTGGGTGCATAGTAGAGGCTATGGGCACTTCCCCTCCTTGAAAAGCTACAGTCTTCTGTGGAATCCAGAGATCTTTTTTAAACTGCCCTTATTAACACTGTAAAGAAACAGTATTTTCAAGACAGGCATCAGAATGGCTACTGGCCTTTTATAGGGGTGCTGCAACAATAAGTAAAGCGTAAATCTTTTCATTACTAAACCCTACACATCAGCCACAGAGACATTCCAGGACAGAGAGAACGAGGCGCAGAGCAACACCAAGAGCAAGTCACAGGAGTAATCTGGGATGTGGCTGTGAGGAACAGCTAAGCTAGAGGCTGCAATCAGAAGACAAGAAAAACAAGCATCACAGCTGATCTGAAAGATTACAGAAAGGCTGCAGGTGAGGCCATCAATGCCACAAAAACATCCAGCTGCACTCCAGGAGCTTAAGCCAAGTGTAATTAAAGATGATGACAGTTCACCAAGAGTGCATTGACCCAGCTGGCCACTCACTAGAAAAGTGCCAGTGTACAACAATAATGCAAGCAGCAGCAAGAGCTCCAGAAAAGCATTTCTCTTAGTGTATATACTATCCACCAGGGAAAAATGTTTCACAAGTCTGCAACCTGTGACACTGAGCCCTTCAATCAGGTCACAGTAATTCTGAGAGTGAGTATGTCCAATGCAGCTCTTTACAGACAAGTGTTTTTACCTCACTGCCTGCTTTCCAGATTTGGTACGCTGTTTGTACACTACTTGAAGAGGCTCAAAACAGGTTTGGGGTTAGTAGTATTCCCTACTACCATATGAGAAGGTTTAATAAAGTATTTATAAGCTGATTTATAATAAGGATATTTCTGGCAGAGAGCTTTACTCTCCTGCAGTGCTAACAAAATATTACCTAGTTATTGCAAATAGCACAAACGTCCATTTAAATTTTAGCATTGTACACTTGATATAAATTTTTATCTTATCAAAGTATAATCCTCAAAATGGAACAACTCTGATTCTTTCTTCAGCCCTAAACGTCAGGGACTTGGACAAAAACAGATCTATTTTCAAATGACATCTTGCTTTGATTTGGGAAAATTTGTATCACCTCTTTTTGGATGCCTTTTATCAATGGGTACCCCGACTGTCTCCCTGCAATACCAAGAACAGACTGAAAGGGCTGTTAACATTCATACCCAGTTTAGCTATCTCGCTTGCCACAAAGTAATTATTACATTTGCTTTGTATCTAACATATAATCAACAGCACATGCGATTGAGAGAGATTCATTATATAAGTCTAATTCCAACACCTTTACTCACTTCAAACAGTGCCTTGCTTTGAGAGTAATTCCAGTGGCACTACTTGCCAAATAGGGTACTATTTAACAGGAGCCCAAGTGACCCAATCAGGTACATTTTGCAGTAAACTTGCTCTTCACCTGTGTTTATAAACAGGCTGTACACACATCAGAATCTAGCACATATTAACAAACAAGTTAGATTTAAATCTCTCAATGATGATACATGATTTGCACGGCACTTAGATTTACTTTAACCACTAGAATATCAAGTCCATTGGATTTTCATAGTCTGTATATAACCTTGCTAGATAATGGAACTGCTGTTAGGGTTTCTGCTACCCCTATTTGAGACAGATATCGTAACAATGAAGTTCAGTTGTGAGCTTCTCTGACGATTCCGGTTGGAAATGACAAAAGACAACTGAGATACCTTAGTCTCTTCTTCCTTAACCACAAGTTACAAACGCTACCTGAAAAGCCAGATAAATTTCACGCAAAGATCACTATTGAGAGCAGCTGTAGTTACTGTACATACACTTTATGTGCCTGAAGAATCAATTAATTTGCAATTCTTATAGAAAACAGTAGACAGAAATATATAATACAGCTGCCTGTCTTCCAAACATACCATTAGTGTAACCGCTATGAAGTCAGCGTCCAAAACTTACAGCCACCTGCTTCCACTAGAAGCAGGCAGGTAGTCATTTTCACTTCACAAGTCACACAGTTAACCATTAAAAGGGAAACACAAACAGCATAGTTAAGTCACTAGCAAGATATCTGTGAGACAGGAATTTAGTTCCCTCCTTTGCTGTTTTTTTGTGCTACCCAGAGAAGCCATCAGTTTATGCATCCCTCAGTTCCTTAGCTCATCTACAATGCCTTCAGTCACATGCATGTTGTATGGCTACAACAGAGCTTTTCATGTGATATAGTAAGAAAAACAGAGAAATTCCCCTTGCATAGGTACACTTGTCTTTAATAACCTAAAGCAGCTGTCATGTTTGCAAACATATTTTGATTATAACGTATCAGGCATTAAACAAGCAGAAACATGAGAAGGATAAAATAGGCCCAAATAAAACAAATTCATCTTTGAAAGTTTTAAAGACCAGAAACCTCAAACACAGAATTTGAAAGAAAACTGAAACCAATATATCATCCTGCTGTTCAAACTAAGTCAGATAAACAGGTTGTGCTCTGCTTACAAGATGCTATCCCAGCAGAGAAGCATTTGAATGTTACCAAACAGAAGGGGAAAAAAGGGTTTGGATAATGCCTTTAACTTGTGCTTTCTGTAACGGAAACTCTGGATCTGAAGAAAAATATATCCTGAACAAATTGTTCTCCCATTCAAATATTAATCTGTGTGATTTTTCTCCATGGAAACTGGTAAACCCACTCAGTCTGCAACTAAAACATCAAATCATAACAAAAAAACCATACAAACCCTGACCTCATTGCCTCCATCTCGGTATTTCATCTCATCGTTTCTGCGTGGTACAGTAGCCTTCATTATTTAAGAAAAAACTGCAAACTTTGAGACAGCACTTATGCTTGTCTCCAGATTGCACACAGTATCACGCATATCCAGTTAGTCACCTCAAGAAGTTAAAAATGAAAGCTAGAAGAATTAGCATAACAAACAGGTACAAGAACTTTTATACTCTTTTTGTTCGCTTCCTTCTGAAAAACAAAGGAGCCAATTCTCCTTTTACAGTTTCATCCTAGGAGAATGCCACAGACTGAAGTGGACTAACATTTGATTTACACTGGCATGCACAAGCAATAACTCTTTGTTCCAGAGCTCTGAATCTTTGTGTTAGAATATTTATGAATCTTTAACTGAGATTTTTGTCTAGATAGTTTTCCTTTCACATAAATATCATCACAGTATTTTATCATCTGGTTCAGGTAACATCAGAAACATTGCCAGAGGATTTGCAAATTGGTCCACTAAGACTAGCATCTGACCTCCATAATAAGGTAATGCTTACATGTTTCCAATGAATGCAGCAGGTACAGTGCAGTCATACCACACTTTGGTATTTTAATTCACATAGACAGCACATCAACTTTTTAAGTATTCCTTATCACTCAAGCAAGTACTTACAGGGTCAGAAGGACCACAGAAGTCTCTGAACACTTTTGTAGACTCAGGCTGTATAATCTCCATTGCTATGGAAGGGCCTGAACACAACTCTGTGACCATCTCCTGGAAGAGAAAAAAAGACAGAAACAAACCTGAGCTTCTCTGGGCTTTAGCAAGGGTTATATTCCTCCCTAAAACACCCAAACTTAAAGGACAGAAACAATTAAGAAATATTGGTGCATTTAGGAAATTAAAGACATCACTAGTATTCACAACGAAATAAATGTTTTCCATTTTGCTACTTGGTTTAAAAGGTGGAGATTGAGGTAAATTGGATATTCAGCTTCATCAGGATACTGAATATCATGCAACAGCATCCACAATACTTTAAATTCTTTTGTGAGTACATCCTTATTGATCTGGACCTGGATTTCACAGCAGTATCCCATAACTTGTCAAACTAGACTGGACAAATGGAACACACTTTGCTGGGTGTAAGCCTGAAAAATCACACCATGTTCAGCCAGTTCCACAGGCAGCAATGTACTTTGCAGTGTTCCCTACAGGGAGCATGGTACACAGCCTGTATTTGTTTCCAAATATACACCCATTTGGTGGCTTTAAGTCACTAAAATGTCTCTTGGGCTTTTGGTTCTCACTGTCTTTCCTCACGTATTACTACAGAAACTGAAACACCTGTGGCACAACCTGTTAGGGAAAGGGTCCTTGATCTGGCAACATTTTTGGAGTGTACTGTTACTAGAATCTCAGTTACACCAAAATCATCTGTTTCCCTGGAGCCTCCTGGAGAGTAAAGAGACATTGTGAGTTCTGAGTGGGTGATGAAGATGGGTCTTAGTTTTCATAAGCTTAAATTAACTCTGGGCATTAGTGCCAATTTGGAGGTTTTTAATTAGAGGTATAGGTTTCACAAGCAGAAAGAATCTATTTTGATGTTCTAGTCTGACTTCCTTTTTTAAATCATGCCTTTATAATTGCATACTTGTCTAGAAATCTGGGCAGACAAGTTTTAAACAAATCAGGACAATTAAAAGAATCAAAACCAATGAGGCAAGAGGAAAGGAGAAAACATTCACAAGACATAAGGGAGGACAGGGAAGAACAAACAAGGTACTGCAATCACACCCACCAGCCATGGGCAGGTCAAGGATGAGCCATGGCAAAGAACCAGAACATGCAGAGTGGGCAAAAAAGCAGTAGGAAAAGAAAGATTAAGTCCTTCTCTGCCTTTTATGAATAGTGATGGAAACTAAATAAATAAAGACTCCAAGTCAAGCGGCATTGTTCCAAAGACTTGCTATCTTCATGACAAATTCCATGTGGAGAGCATGTGCTTTATCTCCCCACTCTGAAGCCAACAGGACAGAATTTTAGCTGAGTGCCTCTATCATCAACCTGATCCTAGGAAATGTAGGTAGAAGTATTCCTGAAAGGACATGAAAGGAGTGCAGACTAGTTTCATGCTCTACATCATCAGTAAATATTTTAAAACTGTCTTATCATGATCCTCTGTTAAGAACAGGTCAAAGGGCAATATATTTATTTCCGTTAAGAAACAGTAAATTGTCATAAAGTGACTACTCTATAATTTCATTGAATTCTGTCATCTAAGTAACTGTTAACAGGAAAGTGGAGAAAAAAACCCAGGCTTTTAACTTCAGTTGAATGAACTGAATTCCTTCCTGCAAACTGTGTTTTTTCTTGTTCCTCCTTCTTCTATTGTTTCTGTGTCAGTACCGACATCCCACCAGCACCAGCAAACAAAGTGACCAGAGTTACCCCTGACTCCTTCATTACAACATAAAGCTGAGGACTGAAGACCAGCTGCCATCAACTACAGCACAGAGGCCGGCGGTACTGTGTGAGACAAGCTTGGTCCACCTTACACAGCCTCATCAAGTCCAGAGCTGAACTTAAATAGCAGACATTGTTTCTGTGGAAAGACTCCTAGTTACAGATAAATCAACTTTTCTTTAGCAAATAGTTTATTCATCAAACAGCATGGTTTGTGGTCAACCATTCCTGGAGTTGGATCAAACTCAAGAATTTTTTGGTTAATAAAGGAGATTCTGAGTGGACCCAAAATAATCTCCATCCTTTTTTCCCCATTTTCTATTTTGGCTACAGGAAGAAATACAAAGCAAAACAGCACAAAACCTAATCAATAGTATGCAAAATCCCATGCAGGAGATACCAACAAAGCTAAAATTTTGGGCAACTGTTCAGCTTTCTCTATTCACAGAGAAGTGCTTTATATACAATGTCAAGCCTCTATCTGACTGACAAGGGGTAACCAGAAGAAATGGGACTATAGTTTTTGAAAAGGATTTCTAGATGCCAAGTATCATCTGTGCCAAGTTATTTTGGAATGTTAAATAAAATTCAGATCAAAACAGACGGTTCTGAGTCACAGATATAAGAGGTCATATTATTTCTCCAATATCCTATTTCACAACATACTTCTTCCTATTTGGACAATATCTATTGCTGTTCCCATATGTGCCATCTCTGGATCCCTTTACCATCATGATTAGCTTTCCCACGTTTTCCTGTTTCGCAGATACCCTGAGTGCACGGAGATATTATTTTAATTTAATTTCAACTGAGTGTATCTAGCACATATGGCTTTCAGGACAGAGCCCTAGATTCTCACTCTTCAAATCCCATCTAAAACTTATCTTCTTTATTGATTTACCCTGTTTAAATGTCACTTTCCCTTCTGAGTAACTCTCCAATTACATTATATAACTAAAATTTGCAACTTACTAGGGGGTCAGAGACTGTACAAAAGAACTGCAGAAGGTGGTAGAGAATTTCCAATTTGGTTCAGAGCAGAGACTTTTGCAGTATCACGGGATTCTTTGGGCCCTGAAATACTGGGCAGATTTTACCATATTTTAATTCTGCCACGTACCTACAAGTCTGCCTGTCCAATCTTCCTTTCATCCTTGTCAAAACCAGTGTTATCAGAGGAAATTTTGAAAGTATTCCCCAATCTGAGAGTGGACTAACAGTACTCCTAACCTATTTAAAGACAAATCTACAAACCTTATTGAAGTAAGTTAGACTAAACAATGTTGGGGTGGGGGGTGGGGGTGGAGAAGGGAGAAAATAGAAATGTCATTATCAGAATAATATTGGTAACTGTCTGGAGTAATATTAGTAACTATATAGACAACTTTTAATAATGTAACCATTTAAAAGTTAAGGATAATTTGCATAGTGCATTGCATGGCAGTGAGGCTACTCATTCCTATTTGTAAAATGAACCAAAATCCTCTGACAGGAGGTGATACAGAAATGCAAGGTCATCTTCTTGTATTCACATTGTACTATCTACAGTCAGGCAGTTTCATGTGACAGTACAAGGCATAATAATATATAGACTCTTAAACATCCACTGGGAGTACAGCATAGCTTAAACTTCTTAAATTTTCTGAAGATCCACTGAAGTCAGATCAAGAAACTCAAGCTGTGATTAGAAAAGCATTCAAATACAGCAGCCCCATTGTACACAAATTGATAAACATATATTCCGGTCCAAGCCACTGCTGCAATATCAAATGAAACAAAGATACAGGTGTGACACATTCTCATAGCTCTACAGCATTAAAGTAACTTATCTGAGGGCTGGTTTTTTTTTTCCACTCTGTTGTATTTTATTAATTCCTTGGCTGAACAGTCTTCACAAAAGACTCTCTTTGCTTACAACATACACAGCACAGTTTTCAAGATGAGTTGGTTTATTCAAGAACAAGCTAGAACTGGTCAATACCAGGTTCCTGAAAGAAATCCTATCACACTCCCCAAAAAGGAAAGATGTGACTGCTTCCTCATTTAATCATATTTTATTTTTAAACAGATTCTTCTCAAACCTATGCTTACCATGTATTCAGCGACGACACCTTTGTAAATCTCATAAAATTCTTCCACATTTGCACGCTCCAGGTTGAACTAAGAAAACAAAAATATTAGCCAGTCTGCCTTAAACAACAATAAAAAAAAAGACAGACACCCCTTCTTAACCAGCAAACATTTAGAATACTCTTTTAAGATTTATGAGGTAAAAGGAATGGCTTTAAAGCTGCAATATGAAGTTTGTCAACAATTTAGCCAATGATGCCACAGGCCACATAGCACACAGTATCTTCTTCCACTTTTAATATAAGTAGACAGTGTAGTGTTGACTGATGCCACTAAGACATGCAAGAGGATCTGCTTGTTGCACAGCAAAGGAAAGGGGCTATTCTTCATTTGTGGTGGGGATTTGAGTCATAGGGGGATTTCAGATCTTAAGACTTTCACAAAAATCAAAAGGCAGGCATTACAGGACTACTCTTGGGAACAATCTCTGTGCTAACTTCCTTTAACTGCTGAGGGTGATCAGAGTATCAAAATCTATTAAGTATCTTTGAAAACTTTCCCCTAAATTCATACTAAATATATATTTTAAAAAAATGAGGAAGTATATTAACAACCATTTCTCTAATCTTAGCTAGTACATTTTGTAAAGATATCTCAAATTGCTCTGGAAGAGACAGGTATCATTATCCCCCTTCTAACTATACGGAAACTGGGATACAGAGAGGTAAAGTGTCTTGGCACAAGGTCACCCAGCAACAAGAAACAGATCGGCTGATCAATCAAATAATAAAGCACAAATATCACAAGGACAGTGCAGATCTCAAAACATTGCTACACAGTCTGCACAAGAGTTTTGTATTTCAGGAAAACGCCTGTGCATTGCTGTGAAGCGCACACAGCTTTTATCCAACTTCTGTTTATCAGAAAAACATACACAAAAGGAAACCTACCATCTGCAAAGCTGAGATCTGAAATCCTTCATTGACGATGGCTTTTATAATCTTTCCAGCTAGCCCTGAAGAAACACACAAAAGACAGTACTTCTTTTTAAAGGGAAGAATTTACAACTGGAAGGTACTTATGCCAATATACCACTTATTTTCAAACCAAAAAAACCCAGTGTTTGTATAATGCTGTGAGGAGGAGCAGAGAGCAGAGCTGAGTTCACATACTCTTAAGTTCTATCTAAATTGACATGTCGATGATTTCAAACAACTAAATTCCATGCAGCTGTTGAAAAGAATCTCTACCAAAAAAAGGTAATTAGTGAAGCCTCTGCTTTTCTCAGATCAACTGCAAAACACCCAGTTGCTTCAGGATCAAGATTTATATTTTTAATTAAGCTACACTGGCAATACTGATGCTTAAACAGTAATCAATTCAGGGCACAGCCTGCCTGTTTTGCTGTTTTTATACAGTGTTCACCAGAGTGGGGTTCCTACTTTAAGCTAGAAACAATGCAGGATGATAATAAATTTTCCCAATATACCAGCAGAAAAGTTCCTATATTCTATGGGAAAAACACAGTAGTGCAAAATAACCTACTGCTTCTAAGGTTATAACTCACAAATATGTTATTGCTGATCACACTGCTTGCTTTATTCTCTCCATAATGCATTCTCAAAGACTGAACAACATTGTAAAACAAAACACTAAACTTCAGAGAACAAGACCCACTGATTTTCCACTGAGTGTGTATTTTAGATTTGCCTGTGCTCATAAGATCAGGCTATTTGAAAGATTATGTCAGTCTGGCATAGTACTCTGTATGAGTGAATTTCATAGAATCACTGTTTTTACAGAACGCAAACACCCGTCCTCTAGTACAATATGCAAGAAACTAAACATTTCTGGACATTTATTCAGAGCAGAATTAATCATAGAAAAATATACCGTAATGAATGAAAACAGCAGGATTTGACTCCTTGTCATTAAATCCTCTTATTAACTAGTCTTTAAATTGCAAGACTTTTTAGCACTGCGTAAGTTTAGTAGATGAGAATAAAACACATCTGGTATCTGGGCTCTAGCATGCTCAAGACCTAAATTGTACACAGTCTGCTAATACTTGTGGCATAGGATTGTTGAACTTCCTGTCACCTTGAAAGGTCAGTGTAAGCTCTGAGTAAATGAGATGGATAGTTGGGGGGATTCCAAAAATTGTATTTAAAAATGCAAATTAAAAAAACTGTCCCTGAAGTATCCCCCACCGTATTTTCACAATAAGGTTAATGTAGAAAAACTTTCCACATATAGAACAGTGCATACTTCTTCAAAAAAACCTTCAAACTACTGAAGGGAAAACCTGGAATTTTGGTACATACTCACTCCATGCAGCTCCTTGAGCTTACAGAATGTAGAAACAAGCTGAGGCAGGTGCAATTCCTGCCATCCCACTATAGTGTTACACCTTTGCTACTAGCACTGATAAAGGTTTCCTTATAACACTCTTGTGAAACCAGTAAAATATACTTCCTCTTTGTTTCAAAGTGAAAGAAAATAATTGCAGCAGCAAAATGAAGGGACTTGGACAGGTTTGACCAGGAAATGCAAGACTGCGTCGGAGAGAGAAACCAGACCTCTAGTTTCTTTTTGTCCACACTGCTGGAAAGGCTGAGCTGCTCAGACACTTCCACACACAGGTCCCAGTGAGGCAGCCAGCCTACAGTCTTGACTTCAAAGATGAATGGCCAGTTTATGAGGAGATTAAGTGAGTGGCTGGGGATCATTCAGGAAATAAACAAATGAATAAATAATCAGTGACAGAGCATGAACATTTTCTCATTCTCAATTTTCAGAGCCAATACACCAGCCAACAGCCACGACTTCACAAGAAACCAACAGAGGGAAGAAAGGGCAGTGACAGACAAATGGCAACCGCTGACTGCAGGGACATGGGTACCTTGGTGCAAGATAGCTGCTTGGCATGACAGATCTCCGTTTTACACTTTATCAAGAATGGGCCACTCACATAGTTCCAGAAGGAATGTAATTAAAATACTCATCAGGTATCAGGTTCTGGGGTACTATGGAGATCTGCTTTTTACAGAATTTTTGTCCTCTGCAGTTTTATGAGCTGCAAGAAAAATCCATGTTTTACAGAAACAAAGGGGAACTCAAATATTCAGCTTTCTGGGCTGTTTCTCTACTGAAGTCATTAAGATTTCTATTCTCTGTAGAGGAGACAGGCTCCTTTAATAATAAAAATCAAAGTAGGAATGTATTTTGCATAAAGTTGTTTAATACAAGGTTTATTTAATAATTAACTGTGATAAACCTATCAAAATTTCCCTGTACATTGTATTCCTGAGTACACTCTCCCTCACCAGAGCAACAGAGCACCTTGTTGCTCCAGACAGATTGCCCATGTCTGCAACACCCAAAAGGCCTAATCAAAGGATTGCTGTCACCAATGTACACAGACAGATGCCTTGCCAAAAAAATCCAAAGTGCCTCGAGGGAGAGGCCTGAGATTTCATTTATGTTTGCAAAGTGGGATGTTAGTTCCACTTCCCAGATGTGGGAATTGCAGCACAGTAAGATAAGCGAGTTGCCAGGGGCAGCGCAGATCTACAAATCCAGTGACTTGGCCTCCCTTGCCCCAGTTCAGGCAATACACATACCACTTCTCCCAGGGACACTTTCCTTTCAAATTCTACCTGAACCAAAATAGAATCAAAAAGCATAGAGGCAATCCCCAAGCAACAGAAGAGTGAAAGCTCAAGGCTCGGCTTGGGATCTGTTGCAGGCTTTCAGCCAGTTTCATGACTGAACTGGGACATGTCCTCTCCTCTGTGGGCAGATAAGGCTGAGGAAAAGAATAACAAATTAGATAGAGTGCCATTTCAGCAGCTTTCAACAATTTGTTTTCAACTTTAAAATCTAGATCGGTAGTGAAAAAACAACTTTTTAAGGACCCTTCAAACAGAGCAAGTGTATGTTTAAAATGTGATTACAGTAAGAACACAAATCAAAGCTGCAGATCAGGCAACAGTTATGATGAATTTTCAGTCACAAAGCACAAAAATATCATAAGCATTACTAAATACAACCGGAGGAATTTAGTACTAATCCTAACAAGAGAGAGAGAGAGAGGGCAAGAGAGAGCATGCACATCCTTTATGTCTCCTAGGCAGCATTATGCTACTATGCACCTAATACAGGACAGATGATCTTCCAACATATTTTAATTAAATAAAATGATAAGACACCAAGATCTCATCGGTTACATTAATCTTCTTCAATGTGTTGCTTTACTACACACAATGTTTGAAAATTGTACTTCTTTAAGAAGCAGAAAGTAGCAGGGAAGATGTCAGACTGAAAAATGCTACAACTGCTTGCAGAATTATGGACTGGAATAAAATAAAACAGTTCATGAAAGTCACTTTTAACCTAACAGCACTTTAATTAATGGGGTGTAACAGCTGTATTACTGGGACCTGCCAGTCCCAGCGCACTATGAACCACCAGCCCTACGAGCAGGGATGTTGCATTCTCTTCCCTTTGTTCTTGGCCTGTTTCCCAATTTAACCATGCCACTGTTAAAAGCTTATTAGGCAAGACAGCAGACTGCCTTCAAAGCAAATCAAACACTAGCTTCCTCATCTCAACCTTTATATGCCATTTTTTTAATACCCTTCCAATAATTAAAAATAATTCCTCTGGAACAACAACAGTTTTTTGACAGGAATAACAAACTGCTGTGACAGATCAGATCAATGATCCACCTAAACCAATAACATATTTCTAGAAGTAACAAGTATCAGACATTTAAAGCAGCACTAACTGTAAGTAGCAATTTCATTTCATGTCTATTTTTGACTTTTTAAAATGCAATTTTGCTTCACAGTAGAATAAAATTATACAATTCCTTATTACCAAGGGTTAAGGTCCTGTCCCAAAAGTCTAGAGAATCAAATCAGGCTTGATTCTGAGCGAAGTCCTTTTTGAATTCCAAAAGAGGAAAAAGTGGGACTCAGAGCTAGGCCCTCCTGTGATGTATTTCAGCTGAAATTGTCACTAATCTTTGATTCAGACAACATTGCAAAACACTGTGCAGGAGGAAGCTGACAGATGTCCTTCTCAAAAAGTGCACTTCTTCCCATCTGTTGATCAACCTATCCCTTGAAGAACATAGTTTATCTATCTCTTCTCTTAGAGAAGAAAGTTTTTTCTACTTAGAAATAACGCAACTCTAGGCATTCTTACTATGCAACATAAATACATTATTTCTAGACTCCCCAAAAGTCTGGCCATAGTGATAATCTGCAGTCATTGATCTCCCAGCCTCGCTGTGTACTCCATGAAAAAGGATATCAGTCATTTTTGTATCTGTACTCTGGAGCACAAAGAAATAAGTCACAGAGGGACAAAGGCTCTCCTAAGTGACACACACAGGCCCAACAGAGAGAAGGGGGAGCTCAAAAGCTACCCAGCCTAATGACGAAGGGAAAAAAGGACAAGTGGATGTCAACAGAAGATAAAGAGGAACATGTGAGGAAATTATGACAGAATATTGTTCCCAGTGATGAAATCCAAGATTTTCCATCATTCCTCATTTGTCTCTAGGCACTGTCTTGAAAAAGAACCTTAAGAAGTTTGAAGAGCAGTTTTACAGGTATTTACAGAGAACACTATCAACACTGCAGCACTGGTGAAAATCTTTACAAACAACATTAATTTGAAAATATTAAAATGGTGAAGACAAAAGATATCATCGCTGCTTTACTGAAGAATAGAAGTTGGCATTTTGCTAGCACAAGAAATATAATTCACACAGAGAGCAAATCTTAGGGGACCTTGAAAGTAAAATGCCTGAGCATTTGATGTGATTGAGAATGGGAACCAATAAAAGTTTCAAAGCGGGTGGAAGGTTCAAAGGCTTAATCCCAGATGCAACTTTCTGAACCACTATGAACAAGGCAAGACCCCACTTGTGTATGCCAGATGGGGCATTGAGACACAAAATGATGGAAACCTGTAGGAAAATAAACTGTTCTGGGAGTTCCTGCA